AATACAATTATGTTGTCAAGTATTGTCCTGTTAATTTAATACTATATGGCTTATTTAATATAATAAAATATCACTTGACCTATGGTTTCTCTGTACATTAAAATGTCATGTAAACAAACATGCTCAATTCTCTTTTTCACACTCAACTTTATTTTCATGTTTGTAATTGTGGAAGAATGAGTAATTAAAAAAAAAAAATTGACCAATAAGCAACTTACAGAACCTTCTTTTTATTTTATTGTTGATTAATCAATTTACAATAAATTGATTATATGTGGTTGTCGGAATTTGTGAGTATCAACGTTTACAGTGAACCGATGTATGTGATTTCTAATGTCTAAGGCATCTGTAATTTGAAAGGCGAATAAAAATAGGAAAACGAGAGAAGTGGTGAGATATTTGGATAGAAATATGGAATTACTTTTTATACAGTAATTTTCTTATAGCGAATAAGTTATATTTTCAATAAAGACAGGTTAACAAACCATTCTCACTAACTTTCTCTTACAAATGTGATGTGGCAGTTTGCAATTGGTTAACACACTCTTAACTTTATTTTCATGTTTGTAATTGTGGAAGAATGAGTAATTAAAAACAAATTTGACCAACAAGCAACTTGTAGAACCTTCTTTTTATTTTATTGTTGATTAATCAATTTACAATAAATTGATTATATGTAGTTGACGAAATCTGTGAGTATTGGCATTTACAGTGAACCGATGTATGTGATTTCTAATGTCTAAGGCATCTGTAATTTGAGAGGTGAATAAAAAGAGGAAAACGAGAGAGGTGGTGAGATATTTAGATAGAAATATGTAATTACTTTTTATACAATACTTTTCTTATTGCTAATAAGTTATATTTTCAAAAAAGACAGGTCGACAAACCCTTCTCACTAACTTGCTCTCACAAACATGACGTGGCAGTTCACAATTGATTAACGGGAACCATTGTTAGGCAAGCGGATCCCATTGCAAGCTGGCCAATTGCGAGCTGCAACGTTGCGTTTGTGAAAAAGTTAGTGAAAAGGGTTTCTTAGCGTAGTATTACCCTTATATTTTTGCTGCACATTATAAATCTATTGTAGTTTTTACCCTTCTTTCTAACTTCTCTCACAAACGCGACGTGACAACTCACAATTGGTTAGCTCACAATTAACCAGACAGGATCCATTGTGAGCTACCATGTCACGTTTGTGAGGGAAAGTTAGCTAGAAGGGTTTGTCCGCGTAGTATTACCCCATAAAGGTGGTGAGTGTATGTGTGTGTGTGTGTGTGTGTGTGTGTGTGTGTGTGTGTGTATACACCTACCACCATAAAATAAAAATTAATTAGTTAAATAATAGAAAACAAATGAATATTGTAATGGTAGAAAAAAAAAAACCGTAACACCATACCGAACCATTAAGCTAATTTGAACGGTTCAGTATGGGTTACTAGCAAAAAAAAAAAAAAAAAAAAAGAACATGTTCAGTTATTTTCCTCTAAGAACCGTATAATACAGTACAGTTTTCAATTCTTGATTTATTCAAACCAAATTGTTTATTTTTATTTTTTAGTTTTATTTAAAACACCCTTTCAAATTACCAAAACATCCTAGAAAATATCATAAAACCCTCAATAGCCCTTACGAAAAAATAATTACCTAAGCTTTGGTCGAAGCGATGATAAGTTTGGGATTTCTAATTAATTTCTCTCTAAAGTTCAAAAAATTAGTAAGAAACCACATTTACTAGTTGATTGATAAGAAAAACTAATAAAGATCTATTTTACCTTTTATTTTAATATTTTAGTAAATTAATTAAGTAAACACAAAAATTCAGAAATATTATCAATAAGTAACAAATTATAAGAAATATATGTTCAAGTCTTTAAAAAGTTTTGTTTATATAGAATCATATAATGTATAACTATAATAACATTATAATTGGTAAAATATACCAATACTCCTCTTAACATATTATAAACTTAGCATTTACTTAAAAATTCCTAAAACTTCATAAATGGTGAATGATTTTTCTGTCTGACTTTGATTAGACATAAGCAGTAGAGAAAAAGGAGACTGTCGGAGTATGTCTGAGAGATATATCTAGACCTAGGCAGGGGCCAGTCCCAACTGGGCCCGAGTCTGGGCCCGATTTGGACTAGGGTTGCAGTCGAACCGAGTAGCTCACGAGCTACTCGGATTTGACTCGGGACGAGCTCGGACTCGACTTGTTGGAGAACGAGTAGTTCATGAGTTCGAGCTCAACTTCAAGCTCGTGAAAAATGTCGAGCTTTTCGGGCTCGATTCGTATTGTTCGTGAGGAGTTCGAAGAACTCGAGACGTCATTCGAGCAGGCGAGCTCCTGAGCTCAATCAATAAGGAAAAGCTCGTGAGTTAATATTTGCCCTAAAATCTGATATCAAATCATTCATTTGGCCAAAAACAGACATTCAACTATTCACCTCTGCCAAAACACATCGCAAGATCTGAGACACCACCATTGTCCAGCCTTCATCCAGCCTTCATTCAGTTACTACCGACCAACGACCAGCTTTAGCTACTACCGTCCACCATCATCTTCCTTTCTTCACTCCCCTGCCGCAAGGTACATTTTCCTGCTTCTTGACACCCAAATTTATTTTTTTTCGTCCCTCTTTAGTATTTTCTTAGTTACGAATTCTTTGTGGTTTTTGTTGACTTTGCTTGATATTTAGAAATTGGAAGCTGGGTGATGAGTTGCGTTAATTTTTGGAAGTTTGTAGAGAACTTGTTATGTGTTTGATGAAATGCCTCTTAGAGAAGAGTTTTGATGGTTATGATGGGATTTGTAGATTGCAGTAGTTGATTGTAGTAGTTTCTGTGCTTTTTTTACCCATCCATATGCAATGACACTGGTGATGTAATTAGTATATTGTGTACTGTTTTTTAGGTAACATCAAAATTGTTATTCCGTAATGGGTCTTCTGCTCATAGCTTCATTATTATAATCAGTTTATTCATGCATGGGTTGGCATCACCTCATGGATTGTTATTTTGAATGGCACTGTTTCATTTGAGGCTCTTAAGAAATGAGTGATAAAAATGAAAATAGAAATACAGTGATAATGTTGCTCTCGGTTGATAAGTAATCTTTTTTTGATATTTCCTTGCATTATCTCACGTGTTCCATCTTTGGTTCTGTGCTTGGTGGGTCAATAGTTTGTATTTGACATGTATAACTTTTTTGTTTTGTTTTGTTTTGTTAATTTAATAGTTTATTTCTCTATGAATGCGAAGGTTTTGTTTGTAGTTTTATCATTACAAACAATTTGTTAGTGCATTAACCATCACCCCATTAAGTGTTATTTAATTTCAGAGATCAAGCTAATATGATAATTTCCTAGATTAGTTTTATAAGCTCTATGTTGGGTACTGTGTGTGCTATTTTTGATGACCATGATCTTGTGGATTATCATAATTTCCCTTTTGCTTCCTCTTAAGTGTAAAGTATGCAAGCAACCCTCTTTATTTCTATTATGGAATTTGTATTGGTTGGATTGTTTCATATGAATGTGAAGGGAAAGGGTTTCATTGAATTTTGAGAAAATGGTGGGATAAACTTATTTAATGACCTTGTTATTCTGGGCACAGTTAGCCACATCTGCTGGGTAGTCTATCCGTTTTTAGACACAAGCTTAATTTTAATAGTAATGTCCATTATAATTAAAGGACGATTCTTATCTATTTAGTATGATTTTTTTTCTGACTCTTGTATCATATATGTCCTACATTGTTATAGGTTTTGATCTTTGATCTCAATAATAATATGAGAGGGTAGAAGAAGTAATGGGACAGCTTGTAGCTGTAAACTTTTATTTGGGGTTAACAACTTGGTTTGGGAACCAGATGATTCCAAACTTTAATGGGGCAGCTTTGAGATTGAAGAATGATATTCCTTTGATAACTTTTAACAAGTCAAAGTTACTTGATTTTGCATTCTGACTTTATATTTTTTTTGCAGAGGGATTTGTTTATTCCAATGGACGATCCGTCATTCACCCTTAATCCAACACACCTTTCCACTTCACGAATGCAATCAGTAGAAGATATCTTTGAAACCTGGTCTGATGATGATGCGACACCCACAGGCACACCCGGTGATGGTGTTGATGCTTCTACCCCTCGTACTGACGAGGAGGAAGTTAATCCTTTTTAGAGGAAAAAAATGACCAAAGACATCAGCGGTTTGGAATGAATTTAAGAAGGTAGTTCTACCGGATGGTTCTACAAAGGGAGAGTGTATTCATTGTAAGGCAAAGCCTACAATAACGGAGACCAAGAGCACAACTCAGTTTGCAAGACATTTGAAATCATGTTTGAAGCGAATAGGTAGTCAGATGCAAACACGGTTGTTTTTTCGGCCGCCCAGTTCAACGGATGATACCTCAATGCGATCTGCACTTGCATTTTCAGATCCCAAGTTTGAGATGAATTTGATACGGGAACTAGCTGCAAACTAGGTGCTCATGCACGAGCATTCATTTACAATTGTGGAAGAGGAGGGTTTTAACGTAATGCAAAAATGTGGTATGCCATAATGGGAGAAGATAACTCGTACTGCTTTGAAACAACATTATGTGACTGTGTATGAGATACAAAAGAAGAAGTTAGTTAATTTGCTAAAGAGTATTAACAAGATTAGTTTGACAACTGATCTATGGAATTCTTCTAATCAGAAGCTTGAGTACATGGTTGTCACCGGACATTTTATTGATAATGATTGGAAGTTGCAGAAGCGTGTGCTCAATTTCATTCATATACCGGCTCCTCAACCTGGTGTTGAGATTGTTGCTACTATTCATAAGTGTTTAATGGAATGGGGAATTGAGAACAAAACGTTCAATATCTCGATTGACAATGCTTCAAGCAATGACGCGACAATCTAGATTTTAAGGGAGAATTTAGGAAGGAACAAGAAGCTAATGTGTGGTGGGAGGTTGTTTAATGTGAGGTGCGCGACACACATATTGAATCTTATGGTTCAGGATGGGCTTTCCCAAATTAAGCCCATCATTCAAGACGTACATGACTGTATTTTGTATGTGAAACAATCAGAGACTAGAGCAATTATGTTTTCAGAGATTGTTCAAATGTTGCAGTTGCCTAAACGGAAACTCATACTTGATTGCAAAACGAGGTGGAATTCTACTTATCAGATGTTGACACTTGCAATTCAGTACAGAGATGTGTTTCCAATGTTAGTTCAATTGGATAATAACTTTACTTTTGCCCCATTAGATGAAGATTGGGAAAAACTTAAGAAAGTGTGTGAGATTTTGGAAGCCTTCAACTCGGCAACTAATGTCATATTGGGGAGTGAGTACCCCACTTCTAACTTATTTTTGCAAGAAATTGTTGACATAAAAGAGTTGCTAGATGATAAGTGTTCTGATGATGATGATTTTATTCGGTTAATGGTGGGAAAGATGAAAGAAAAGTTTGACAAGTATTGGGGGGAATGTAATTTCGTTATGGCAATTGCAGCTGTATTGGATCCGAGGATGAAAATGAGGATGCTGCAACTTGCCTACCCACAAATGTATCCTGCTGAAGAAGCACAAGGCAAAATTGATGAAGTGCAAGCTACCTTGTATGAGATTTATGAGCAATATGCAGTGAAAACTCAACCTGCCAATAGTGAACCACCTGTAGAAATCAGTAAAGTTCAACGGGACAATGTACAACGCTCTAAACGTACTAGTTCATGGTTTTTCCAGTTTTTTAGGACAACTGAAACGGTGCAACATGAGAAATCTGAGTTAGATCGTTATCTAGAGGAGAATGTTATGGGACGAGGATGATACCTCATTTGATGCGTTACAATGGTGGAAGGTAAATCAAACGAACTATCACATTCTATCTAAGATGGCTCGTGAAATACTTGCCATTCCAATCACCACAGTCGCTTCGGAGGCAACTTTCAGTGCAGGGAGTCGAGTTATTTACACTTATTGATTATCGTTGTCTCCCGATACCGTGCAAATGCTACTTTGTGGTGGTGATTGGTGTCGCAATCTCTATGGAGTCAAGAAAAGTTACAAAGTAAGTTTCATACTTCTATAGTCCATTTTATTAAAATTATGTATTAAAATCTAAAACAATATGTTTTCCTTTTTGTTGTTTAGAAAGAGAAGATAAATGAGGAGTTTCGACTTCCGATCCCATGAAGTCTTGGTGGAATCTTGACAGGTTAGTGATAGTAAAAGTAACACATATATACTTACATTAGTAGAGGCATTAACATATATTAAAGAAATTTGAACATAGTATTGCAGAAGAAAAAGAACAAGAATTCTGAGGAACTTGTTTTTTCTTGTTGCTATCCTGTTAATAAACATGATATCCATCAGCAATGCATATAGTAATGTGGATTCAGATATTGAGTTATCCTATGGATTTTGAATTGTGTTATGATAATGTGATGAGCAGGTTCGTAAAATAGCCATCGCAAATGTCTGATTATAATAGAACTTGATAGACAGAATGGGGAGAGTCGAACATCTTTCTTTATTTATTGTTAAAGCTTTATGCTTAATCAAGGAAAAGCATGTGAGAATATATGTGATTATGGAAAATTCTGGGAGTGGAAAGATGCTGAAGCAAGAGCTCCTCCACAAATAAGGAATCATGACTGAGACATTTAATGTAGGAATATTTATTGAGATTTAAATTGATTGCTTCCTCTACTTTTCCAAGCTTTTGATCCAGTCAGTATGCTCTATAACCCATGAATACTATTGATGCATTTTTGGAGCATTCTTGTTTATTACCCAGTTCGTAACTAGCAAATCATAAAATGATAGAAAATCAAGTGAGGAAGCTTGAAACTAGTTAGCATTGATTTAAAAGTTTTTTTCCTTAAATAGCCATTAGATATAAATATTGATCCTTCATCATTTTTGTTGGATTATCTTGCATTTTATATGGATTGCATCAGCTAAATTAGTCCTTTCAGATGGAAGCTCATTATCATTATTTGCTCATTTGGTTTTGTAGATGGGCCTGCTGAAGATCTTTATGGCATCTTGATCAATCGAATTCGTCGAGAGGGTCCACCAGGGTTACTGGATATCCTTCCCATTCTTTGGCTACTGGTTTTGTTGTTGATACAAGAGAAGAGAAGCTTCATGGGTCAGGTGGATGCAAGAGAAGAGAAGCTACTGGTCTTCTTGTTGATATGATTCAGCATAAGAAAATAGGATGCTTTTTGTTTCCCATGGACTGAATTCCATATGCTTAATGTTAGCTTTTATTTTGTGCTTTGCTTTAATGTTGTTTTTGGATTAAGGATTGTTAAATTTATTTGCTTTGGATGTTATTTGAATGAATGTTTGTTGAATTTACAGCTTAATTTTTACTTTTAATGTTGATTTTGTGATGAAGGTTTCATTTTCCCATGTTTGAATTCTGAGATTTAGGTGAAGTTGATTCCATTGAAGTTGAATTTTGTTTGCTTTTTAGCTTTGAATCATGCGATTTTGGTGAATTCAATTTAATCTGATCAGAGGGCAAAAGGGATGCACGACATTCCAAAGCCATTTCATTCCCAGTTCAGATTTTTTTTCTTGGTTTTTCATTAAATTAAACAGCTTCCAAATCATTTATAATTTCTTTTTTTTAATTTATGAAAGTGATTTAACAATAAGTAACAAATATGAAATGAGTTATAAAGTGGATAAGTATGTTGTCATAAAAAGCTACAAACGAGCTTGGCTCGAGCTCGAGCTCTGCTCGACTCAAAACTTGATGAGTTGAGCGCGAGCCATGCAATTAAATTGGCAAGCCGAGCTCGAGCTCACAAGCTGGAGCTTGACGAGCTCGAGCTCGAGCTCCCACCTATTCTTACCTAGCCAAGCTCGAGCCAGCCACTACTCGGCTTGGCTCGACTCGTATGCACACCTAATTGGGACCAGGACTAGGCTCAGGTCTGGGCCCGATTGGGACCGGTCTCGGGCCAATTGGGACAAGTTGCTCGTGGGCCTGGGATCGATCCCATGCCCATGAGAAATTTCAAGACCCAAACTGGTCCCTAGGATTGGTCCTACGAGCCTGGAAAACTATTTTTCACCTCCCCAATTTTTTGTTATACTTAGGGGGCCAAAAACAATTATGTAGGGGGGGTTTATGTAATATTTAGGGGCTTGGAAAATTTATTTTCACTCCGAGAGATTAGTAAATTTTTAATTAATTTAAAAAATAATAAATTAATTAATGGTTAATTATAATTAATAATAATTTATAAATACGGGTGTTGGGTTTGTCTAGTTGATTGGGTGGTGATGGTGGCTTGTTCGTGTTGGTTGGGATGTTTGCTGGGTGGTGATGGCGTATGTGGGTGCTAGGTTTGTCTGGTTGATTGGGTGGTGATGTTTTATTGGTGTTGACTGGGATGTTTGCTTGGTGGTGATGGCGTAGGTGATGGTTGTTCACAAGTTGGGAGTGGTTGTTGGTATAGGTGTAGGTGGTAGTGGGGGTGGTGGTTGGTGATGGTGGCAGTAGGAAATTTTGTATTTTATATTTTGATATTGCTTGTTAGAAATTTCGAAGAATGCATATTAATTCTAATTGGAAAATTTTTCCATTCTAGTGAATATTTTGAATTTCAAGTCAATTGCACACACAGTTACACCAGATAGGGTTCTCTCACTCATCGCTACTGTAAACAATGGAAAATCAAGAAAGCAAGTATGAATCTTTTTCCCAAATCTTGAATTCATATAGACTCTCAAACATCTAATATTGCCTCTTAAATCAAATGGCAGTAAAGTTCATTTATTAAAAAAGATTAGTCTTAAATCAAGTGGTAGTAAGGTTCCTTTGGTAAAAAAGTTTTGCTGAAAACCAAAGTGTACGTATTCTTGATCAAAATCTTGATTTGGTAGGTTCATTTTTTAAGGTTTAATGATACGACTCCATTCGATTTAGGGTCTATGACCCAAAGTCTCGTCAAGAGCATTGGATTGAAATTTTGAATCAAATTCTAGTTGGTGCACCTGTGAAACCAACTCCACTTGTAGTCTCTCCTCTAGCAACTCCTTATGTACTCTCCCCTTTGACAACTCTACTTGTAATTTCCCCTCTAGAAACTCCACCTACAGTCTCCCCTTCGACAATTCCACCTATAGTCACACATCCGACAACTCTACCTGTAGTTTTCCCTCTGCCAATTCAAACTGCAGTCTCCCCTTTAACAACTTGAATTATTGTCTTCTCTCTACCAAGAAGGGTTGTACCTAACAATGGGGCTACACTTAATGATGACTACGAAGACAAATTCAAAAGAGTCTTTGTGATGGGAATTTACATCATGTCTACCTCGGTGGCAGTTTGGCCACCAACTATAAATCTGAAATGTCAAGAGCAACATACGTTTTCTATTGTCTTGTAGCTTGCATTTTTGTTGGCCTCCTCTCTCCCTTAGACAACTCCACCTATAGTCTCCCCCATGGCAACTCTATTAGGTGGTAATGGCATATGTCGGTATTGAGTTTGTCTGCTTGACTAGGTGGTGATTTTGGCTTGGATGTTTGCTGGGTATTGATGGCATAGGTGGTGGTTGTACATATGTTGGTGTGGGTGTGGGTGTGGGTGTGGGTGTGGGTGTGAGGGGTTAGAGGTGGTGCTTGGTGATGGTGGTAGTGGGGAATTTCGTATTTTATATTTCGATATTGTGTGTTAGAAATTTATAAGGTTGTATAAGAATTCTAATTGGAAAATATTTCCATTCTAGTGAATATTTTGAATTTGTGCATACAATCTCACCCGATATGGTTCTCTCACTCACCGCTACTGCAAGCAATGGAAAATCAAGAAAGTAGGTATGGATTTTTTTCCCAAATTTTGAATTCATATAGACTCTCAAGCATCTAATGTTGCCTCTGAAATCAAATGACAATAAGGTTTATTTGTTAAAAAAGATCAGTCTTAAATCAAGTGGCAGTAGGGTTCTTTTGGTAAAAAAGTTTCTCTAATAATCGAAGGGGTACATATTCTTGATGAAAATCTTGATTTGGTAGGTTCATTTTTTATGATCTAATTATACGACTCCAGTTGATTTAGGGTCTATGACCTAGAGTTTCATCAAGAGCATTTGATTGAAATTCCGAATCAAATTCTAGATGGTGCACCTGTGAAGCCAACTCCACTTGTAGTTCCCCTCTAGCAACTCCACCTGCAGTCTCCCCTTCAACAACTCCACCTATAGTCTACCCTCTGGCAACTCACCTGGAGACTCCCCTTCTACAATTCCACTTATAGTTAGACATCCGACAACTCTACCTATAGTCTTCCTTCTACTAACTCCAACTGTAGTCTCCCCTTTGACAACTCGAATTATAGTCTTCTTTATGCAAAGAAGGGTTCCACCTAACAGTGGGGCTCCACTAAATGATGACTATTAAAACAAATTCAAAAAATTCTTAGTAATGGGAGGTTAACTCATTTCCACCTTGGCTATTGTTTTGGTCACCAATTGTAAATCTAAAATGTCAAGAGGAATGGCATCCGTTTTGTATTTTCTTATAGCTTCCATTTTTGTCAGTCTCCTCTCTTCCTTCGATAACTCCAACTGTAGTCTCCTTTCTGGCAACTCCACCTGTAGTCTCCCCTTTGACAACTCCACCTACAGTCTCCCTTTCGACAATTCCACCTATAGTTACCCATTGAGAACTCTACCTGTTCCTCTATAATCTCCTCCACCAACTCCAACTATAGTCTCCCCTTTAACATCTCAAATTATAGACTTCTCTACCTTGAGAACTCTACCTTTTATTTTAATATTTTAGTAAATTAATTAAGTAAA